ATGAGACCATCTAGAAGATGCATCTATTAAGACCATAAAATATCTAAACGGCCCACTAGGTGGGTGAATAGGTCCACAAATATCCCCTTGTATACGTTCCAAAAACGCAGGGGACTCAATCCCAACCTTTGTTGGTGATGGTCTAATAATAAACTTGCCTTGATAACAAGAAATGCAAGAAAACTCATTATTTAAAAAAATCTTTAAATTCTTTAATGGATGCTCATTTGAGTTCTCTATAATTCGTCTCATCATAATTGATCCAGGATGTCCCAATCGATCATGCCAAAGTACAAAGTTATTGGAATTAGAAACCTTTTGGTTTACGCTAGAATGTGCCTCAATTGCACTAATTCTTGTCCAATACAGGCCACAAGATAAAGATGGGAACTTCTCAATAACCTTTTTCTGGCCAGAGACATTCTTGGTAACGATGAGATATTCGAGATTATTCTCATCTATTGTCTCAATATGAAATCCATTTCGACGGATATCTTTAAAACTCAACAAGTTCCTCTTGGACTTGGAGGAGAACATTGCATTCTCTATGATAAGTATTGTTCCCTTAGACAGAGTTATATTAGCTATTCCAGAGCCTTCAATTAGATTATTACTACCAGAAATTGTAATAACAACTGCCTTACACATATTTAAATGAGAGAAATATTTCTTCTCTTTGAATATTGTATGTGTTGTACATGAATCAATTAAGCAAATATTTTTATAATTGAACTTTGATCCAAGTTTGCTTTGAAAGATATCCATATTTGCTTCCCATGGTTTGACATACCAAAGAAGTATATGAATAAATATTAGTATTTTTAGAGAAAAAAAAAGTTAAACCAATAATTCAATAGTGACTTTTTAATGCAAATTCTAATTATTATACAAATAATTACGCAGCAAAAATAATACAATTATAAGTACATGAAAAAAAAATTTGAGGGTGAAGTAACAAAAGTTGTTCCAGGGTGCTTGTAAACCTTTCTTAAAGAGAATTAAAGTAACGTAAAGGAAGATCAAAAGGAATTAAAAGATTAGGGAGACTAGGACACTAATTACTAAGATATTACTCCTTGTTTGTGAAATTTAGGAAATACATATATTTTTAAAAACTATATAAGAAGTATTATTAAGTGCAATAAAAATTACAAGATGTTTATTCATTAGATACTACGAATAGGAAAACATAAAAATCAAAATGCTCAATCATCTTTAACCATAGATTCATCACCGATCGTGTGGTTTATTTTTCCATCAGGGTACTCAAAAAAATCTGTCACATCCAAGTGGGTGATGTCAAATTCATTGTCATAGACAAAATTAGCTTCAGGAGCTTTATCCTTTAGAGATGCTTGATAAAGCTCATCCAAATATTTTGGTATGCGACAAATATTTGCCCAATGTCCTTTTCCACTGCAACGATAATATTCAGTTTCTGAACCATTTGCCCTTGGCCCTTTCCACTTTTGGTGATTATTTTTCTTTGGGGGGTGATTAACACCAGAAAAATTTCTTCCTTGGCCATGGCCACGGCCACGACTACGAACAGGGCCACGACCTTTTTCACACTTAGAATAATGCGAATACACCTCATTCACTTCAGGCAATAGTGTAGACCCAGTGGGTCAGATTTTCGTGATTTCTCATTAGCAAGTCATTGTTTCGTTCAGCCACAAGGAGAAGAGAAATCAACTCAGAATACTTCTTGAAACCTTTCTCTCGGTACTGCTGTTGCAAGACCATATTAGAGGCATGAAACGTTGTGAACGTTTTTTCAAGCATATCATAATCAGTGATAGTATCTCCACAGAGTTTCAATTTAGAAGTAATTCTGAACATCGCAGAATTATATTCAGAAATAGACTTAAAGTCTTGGAGTCTCAGATGAGCCCAATTATATCGTGCTTGTGGAAGAGTGACCAACTTTAAGTTGTCATATCTTTCCTTTAAGCCATTCCACAAAATAAGTGGATTTTTGACTGTGAGATATTCTATCTTCAACCCTTCATCAAGGTGATGGCGCAAGAAAATCAAGGCCTTAGCACAGTCTTGGGTAGATGCTTTATTTTTGTCTTTAATGGCGTCTCCAAGACCCATTGCATCTAAATGGATTTCAGCATCCAACACCCATGTCATATAGTTCTTGCCCGAAATTTCAAGGGCAACGAACTTTCTTTTCATAATATCAGTCATAATTAAAAGAGGAGAAAAGTTATACCTTAGTCTTCTCAAAAAGCTTTTTGAGACGGTAGAGTCTCGTGCTAATAACGTGTTATAAAATATAACTCAAAGTAATAATATGGAATAAAAAAAAATAAGCTAAGAGATATATGGAGAAAGATAGAAGAGATTCTTATTTCTTTTTCAAATGTGTGTATTTTCCTATCTATTACAAGACATTTATATAGGCATGAAAAGTGAAGAAAATATGTCATTGAATATGTCATTAAGCATTTGAGATGAAGATCATGGAATAAGAGTAGACATACACTATAATTTAATATTTCTTATAACAGTTTAATTAATTTAAAAAGCATTACTGAGTATTATTTGGTTAGGCCTTTAAAATTAATTTTAAGTATATTTTTTGCAAATTATTTTTTAAAAATCATTTTTTTCTACTTTTCATAAACGGCATCTGCTCAAAAATAAGTTTTTAAAAAAAAGAAATTTGAACAAATACTTTAACTTTAAAAAATATTTTTGAAAAAAAAATCAGCTTTGCCAAAGGCTAGCAACCGCAACTCTTTGAAGGCTGGATTAAAAGAAAATAAATAGAGCCTAAATTCTAGTAACTCTTAAATCTTTGCCAAACCCTCCTCTTCCCTTATTCCCCCATTTCTTTCTACAACAGCGAACGAATCCTTAACTGCCTCTGATTTGGATCTGCCAGCCAGTGGCCGTAGTGAATGTCAAACGCAAATCAAAATGGCGACTCAGATTAGTACAAAACAAAAGGTTCGTCAGTTCGAGAATTCTGAAATTTATATTTAACTGAATATATATTGTATACTATGTTTTGATTGATTGATTGTTGTATGTGTTTTAAACAGTTCGTAGCGGATGGAGTGTTTTTTCGCTGAGTTGAATGAAGTGCTGACGAGAGAGCTGGCGGAGGATGGTTACACCCATTAGAGCTACTCGTACTCAGAACGTTCTAGGTACATAAATATATATATATGAATTTTATTTGCGGCTATTACATTTTCAGTTTTATTCTAGTTTTCTTTTCTTCATTAGAAATGGCTCAATCAACAGTAAGAATTACAGAGAAAAAATTCGTTGTATTTAAGTGGAGAAGGATAGAGAGGTGGGCCTTATTCTTTCGAACTGTGGGTCAGGTAACCTTCCGGGATTTCTCGGTTACCCAAAATAAAGAAGAGAGTTAGAAGCAATCTGCTAACAAACTAGAGATATAATTAAACATTGTACAGAGTAGCTACTGGATTCATCCTACTGGAGAAAGCAAATACAGCATATATTATAGACATTTGCCTAAGCCAAACTTGTACACAAATAAGTCTATCGTCCCACAAAAGAAGGATACGCCCTTCTGATTGAGTCCATGTACAGTACAGAGCAAATTCTAGTAATTAGCCTATGTTTTGGTACATTACTCATTCTGTAAGTAGAAATTATAAACGTAATGAAATTGATACTTGATAACTTGTCTTAAAAGGATTTTGAATGCCGTGAGTCGTCCAATGCAGGTTACTCTGTTCATCCCAGTTGGCTATCCTGCCGGACAAGTTTTTCACAATAAGAGTTAATTTGTATCTAGATAAAGGTAATAGTTTGGAGAAATTGAAATTTTCCTAATGTGATGTTGTGTCTGTGGTGCTTTATTTTACTATAAAATGCTGCAAAAGTATCAAAGAGGGTACAGAAAAAGTTTTCCATGGCAAATGAATCATGGTTGCTGATTATCAGATGGAGTTGTGGAAGTAGATGTTTTATTTAATGGAGATTTTATTATTAGATTACTAATGGCATGATTGTGTCTGTATTATCCAAGTGAAAAAGGTAGGAGGATCAGCGAGCTAACTTCAATTGTTCAGAAGCGTTTTAATTTCCAGGATAGAAAGTCAACAATAGGGGTCTCTGTGCTACTTGGAGGACTTGCTGTCCGAAGGTCTGTTGCTTGGTTGCACTTGTTCCCTGCCTTAATGTTTCTTTGCTCTCTGACTTGAAAGTCATCTTTACAGCGAGTTGGTATCTGCTAGTACCTTTCTCGTGTCTGAGGGTGACGACATTTGATCCCATCTGTTTAGGAATCAGAGGAATATATCTGCTCCTAATTTCCTATTTTGATGAATTTAAAGGTGGGAAAATTTCTGATGCCATACATACCTGTGAGGATCGGAGAACAATAAATTCTGACAAAGTAGATCGATGCAGTTAACAAAAATTGTAGTCACAAAATATCTTCCAATATGGTGGTCCATTTGTTTGGTTTCATGACAGCATGGTGTACAATATGCATGCATCTTAATCTTGAATAGATCATAGATATATGTATTTGCTTGGGCTCTAATAGCATGGTCTACAAATACATGCATCTTCATCTTGACTGAGGGTGAGATTATATTCATTTTATTTAAAGTTACACAGATTTTTAAGGTCACCATGCGTCGTAGCTATTGAAAGCAGATTTTATCATGTAAAATATGGGTAAATTATATTACTATATGTTAGTCTAGCGAAATGTTGTTGTTGCCATGGTTTTTTCTCAACTTGAGGCAAATTTCTCATTGGAGTGTAATTTCCATGTCATGATCAAAGTCCCTAGAGGTTTCCAATCCTTTTGTATAACTCCTTTTTTTCTTTCCAACTTATCTGTCGTCATGTTATAGGGCTTGCTATGGTGTTCTGAGATTTGTCATGGAGAGTGGAGCAATGGGATGCGAGGTTTGCTTCGAGTAACTTTCCTTCTCTGCATCTATCCCCAAGTAGATGTTCTCTGAAGAGTTTTATAGAAGCCTTTTTTCTTTAGGTGATTGTTAGTGGAAAGCTCAAAGCTCCATGCTCAGCGTGCCAAGCCCATGAAGTTTAAGGATGGATACATGATTTCTCTTGGGCAACCCGTTAAAGAGTACATTGATGCAGCTGTTAGGCATGTTCTTCTTAGGCAGGTTAGTCTCATGTCTACATATATTAACTAATCTTTTTTACTTATTGTGATTCTTGTGCTGCAGTTGTTAGTAACCATGAGTGCTACTTTACTTGTTGTCTATTTAATTTATAGGGTGTGCTCGGTATCAAAGTCAAGATCATGCTAGACTGGAGTAAACAAGGGCGTATGACTCCATCGCCAGATCTGATGACTATTCATCAACCCAAGGAGGAAGAAGAATATGCCGCTCTTATGGTAGCTGCTCCTGCAATTGAGGTTCCTGTGGCATAAAAAACTCTGGCTGGTACTTCTAATTATTTTCCTATTTCACAGCCGGAATACTAGATTACATAGTGAACCAATTTGCTTTGTAGTTTTTGTTAAGTAAGATACTAATTATACCAATTTTGTTCATTTTCTTTTTCCGATCTGTTGACTTTACGCCGAAACTGTTTTTATATATGTTCACCTTTATTTCTTGTAATAGTGCGTCTGCAGGACTTGAAGGGTAATTTGAGCTTCTAATTCTATAATGTGTGTGTATGTTAAAGGCTTCTAAGTTTGAAAGGGGGTGCTTCTGCGCATCTAGAGATGGAGTTACTACTGGCAGGTGGACAGCTATATGTGGTCAAGTATCACGAGTCTACAACACAATAGTAAAACTTAACAAACATAACTCCAAAACTGCCTCCCCCACGCCCACACGCATGACACCCTTCTGGGACCTTGAGCTGGTTTTGGGTCTGGGTATGGATATATGCACAAAACAAATTCCTATTTGAAATTTTGAATGTGTGGGTGGGTGTGGAGAAAGTGTTGGGTCAGAGTCCTAACACTCTCTTTTTTCAACTTTTACTAAACATATATTCACTTATCAAAACTTTATCTATAACTTTAACAAAGTAAGATTGAAATAATATTCACGTAACAAAAAAAATCCGAAAAAATCGAACCAATCCAAACCAATAAACCGAACCAACGCGATCCATGTACACCCCTAAATTTTGGGCTAATGCACCGATGATGTAGTACAGTGGTCAATGAAATACGTGGAAACTATGAAATCTTAAGTTTAAATTCCAGCGGAAGTGAAAACACTAAGTAATTTCTTTTCATATGTCTAAGCTTTAAGAAATAGAGGTACCCGGTGCCGATACTAGTGTGATGTAGTAAATCTTTCGTGGAATTGGAAGCTAATCCAAACACCATAACTAAAAAAAAAAATGGGCCTACAATAATCACATCCTATATATGTATCGGTATCAAGCACATAATCTCTCTAATTTGACCTTAACGAGTACTTAATATACTTTATAATAAAATTTTAGCTATATATCGGCTAAAAGAGCAAGAAACAAGCATGGCAGAGGTCGTGGAAACTGTTTAGAACATCACTTTCCTTCCCACCATTACAACCAATATATATGTAATAGATTTAGAGCCTGTTTGGCCAAGTTTTTCCGAGGCCAAAAGTATTTTTTTGTTTGTCAAAAAAGTAGTTTTTGAAAAATTTAAGTTGTTTGGCCAAAATAAAAAAGTACTTTTGGCCAACAACAGAAGTAGTTTTTCTGCTTTTGGGAAGAAGCAGAAGCAGAAGCAGAAAATTAATTTATTCAAGNCTTTTTTTTTTTTTTTTTTTTTTTTTTTTCTAATTTCTACCATTATTTTGAAAATTAAAGATATCAAATACATGAATCATCTTGTAACATTTCAAATTCTTTTTTGACTTTTCTTGTTTTTGATTTTTTTCTTTGACTAATCTTGTTTTTTTATTTCTGTAAATTAATAGATCTCCTAGAATTCTCCCGGTCTTCGATGTACAATTGAAAGAACATTTGGAGTTTAGAAAAATAGGTTTTCTATTTTACGCTCAATGCCATCTTTCAAGTTTGACACTCAGATTCATCTTGTTACAACTACCATGGCAATACACAATTTCATCCGACGACATTCTTCTACTGATAAGGAATTCAACTATTATGCTAATAAAGACATTACTGCAGAGATTGAGGAAGGAGATGGGCCTTCTGGTATTCCTTTAGAAATGCAAGACAAGTCTTCTACTATTATGGAGGCGTTGCGTGATAGAATTAGAGATGAAATTGTTGAGAAATATTATTATATGTGAGTGACTTTGCTTATTATTTCATGGTTGATTATCAATATATAGTAATTTATGGAATAAACTTTAAGTCATACTGAATGACGTATTTTGATTATTCAAATCATCGTGTAAATAACAAGTAATTATACTAGATAATATTATTGCTTTGGTATCACTATATATGTTACAATAATTTAAATATTTAGAATGTATGTTTACTTTATGTTTATATTTTAATTAAATTAAATAGAAAAATAATAACAGTCTCTTATAATAAATATTTAAATTTATTTATTTTTTAAATAATTATAAAACCTTGGTACTATCCTTTTTAGTAATTTGACACTCAAAAGCACTTTTTATAAAGATTGGCCAAATACAATTTGTTTATCAAATATTGCAAAAAATACTTCTTAAATGAATCGGCTAAACACAAATTATTATTTTTTTCAAAAATATTTTAAAAAAAAATACTTTTCAAAATAAGTAGCTTTTGGCAGCTTGGCCAAACGGGCTTTTAGTATAATGACTTGTTGTGAGTCCAATACCGCCACCAATTAATCAACTTGCCTTTGCATGTGAATCTTGATGATGCTACACCTACAAACAATGACTGTATCACTTGATCTATCGTCAGTAACCACCCCACAAATCAAGATTGATCAAAACCAAGAGAAATTCTTATGGAGACATTTATAGGGGCTGAAATCACTACATCTTGGTATCACATGGACTTCACTTGAGCTATGGCACACGGTATCAACCAAGAATCTAAAATTCTCAACAATAAAAAAAAATCAGTTTCACATAATAGACAAAAAGCCTCAATTCTTCAGAAAAGAAAAGAAAATATTGTTTCGTCTAAAACAATTGAGATCAAAAGCAAGACTTCTATACTTTTTGTAAGTTCTTGGTTTCCCAGTCATGTTTGTTCACAATTTCAAGCGGATCGGCTAAATCAATCCACCAAGAAATAGTTAAAACAATATTAAAGTGATCCCGTAAAATAAAAACGATAATTAATTCATGTTACTCACTCTACTTTTATAATGAAAATGTTTAGCTCAGGATTCGTTCCTCAAAACGAAATCACGACGTCATATAAGTTTTTGTATAGTGCAGAGAACTTTTACCGGTTTCTTGAGTGAGAAACTAGTGAAGAAATCACTACTAGAAAACTGCCAAAAATCATCAAGAAAAATCGATCGAAATCGGTCGGAATTGAATAAAAACCGATCGATTTCCGACCGACTTTAATTCGTCGAAAAATTAATGGTCGCTAATGAGAGGCGATCGCAGACGGTCGGTAATTTTCAACGCACTTTGACCAAATAATCTAACACAAACTAAATTTACCGACCGAATTCGGTCGGTATTATTGAAAATAATTTTTAATAATTTTTAAATTAGCAACCGATATCGGTCAGAATCTTAATTATTTATTACCGACCGAAATCGGTCGGTAGTATTATAATATTTAAAATAAAAAATAAAAAATTCCAATCGAAGTTGGTCGGTAATTTACATTTTTGGAAAATTCAATTGAATATTTTCCACGGATTTCGGTCGGTATGCGGTCGATTTTCTGGGTAAATGTTTGGCAGAATATAGCTGTTTTACGGCTGCATCACATGCCAACAACCAATCACCTATAATGACAACATTATATTGCTGTCATTCAATCAATAACAACAACAACTACAACAATAACAACAACAATAACAACTATCAAAACTATATTAGCAATATTTATAGGGTTTCAAAATATCCAACAACAAAACGTTTCACAAGTTAAAAGTTCAAACATCATTCAATGAGTATTTTGTACTACATCATCTCCATTTTCACTACTAGAAGCTTCATCATCGACATGGTTTGAAGGATCACGATTAGAAGGATTAGCATATGGAGAAGACTCATTTGACCGAGGAATGGGAAAAACACCACTAGCAAGAAGATTGGCCAACTGACCTTGAAGGACATTAAATTGTTGGTCCCTCTTTTCTAGCTGACCTTGAAGGCTATCAAATTGTTTATCTCTCTTTTCTTCTCTAGCCTTTGCCCCTTCAAGTCTGCTGACAGCTTTGAGATCTTCTTCTCCATAGCCGAGAGAGTCGACCTTTCAAGTGTCTCACCCTGGGCGAAAGTCCTTATACCTTGCAATCCAACTCTGTAGCACCGAAATAATCTCTCTGGAAGGCCTTACGCTATCCTCTTTTTAGGACCACCAATAACATCCAACCATATCTTTTACGCTTCTTCGTCTGAAATGGAAGGTCGCTCGCCTTGCTCATTCGGTGGCAAGCTCTGACTGTACTCCTCCACAGTAGTTTTGTAGCGACCTTTTATTTAGAAGATAGAAAATTATTAACTATATAATATTATAAATATTAATTTCAAGTTATAGTAGTTATGAAACTTACATATGTGATCTCCACCCGGTCCTCGACCCATCTACTTGGATTTGTCGGTGCCTTCTTCTTCCGGATGTGAGTCTCCATAAAGAACTCATATGAGTCATCTTTCTCCAATATTTTTTTCCTACAAATATAATAAAACATGTTAACCAAATTAAAATATATAAATATAGTTCGATAAAAATAGATTTAAATATTTTAAGGAATTACCAGTAGTCTCCTCGCAGTCCCCATGCTCCTTGCACCCACACAGTGCAAGGAGCTACCCTTCTCAGATGCTCGGGCTTTCTTTCCCTGTTCACTATTTTTCTCGAATTTCTCAGTGGTCCACTACCTCAACAGATCTATCCATAAATGCGGTAGAACCCATGAAGGTTTCTTGCTCTTCTTTTGAGCAGAACAAAAGGAATCAGTTAGTCTTTACGACATTTGAACTCAAAATTTGCAAGAATGGCATAGTTCGCAAATGAAGTGGTGTATAACGTTAGATGAAAATATTATTAATATAATGCTTAAATAGATAAGAATTGTATTAAAACCTTAAATTGGTTAAAAATTTACTCCACTAGCTCCGGTGGAAAATCACTCCAAGTCGCATAGGGTGCATCATACAACCGACCAAGAGTTTCAGTGATTATCTTTGTAGTCTAATGACTAGGTAGGAACCTGCAACATAGAAATTACACTAAATAAACAAGACTAACTATTATAATTCAGCAAAAATAAAGAAGTAATAAATAAATCTTACCCACTGCCCTTAGGCCTGATGATCATCCTATGATAACGATCATACCGTACTTCCTCTGGATCATCATCCTCCAGTGTATCTGAAGCGTGCGTAGAAGGGGAGGCATATGGCTCAGCTCTACTATCCCGAAGGGAAGTCTAGAAATGCTAAGAGATGAACTCTGTGTAGAGGGAGATGGGGTCGTTGATGAAGATGGATGCGATCTAGACCCCT